ACAATGACGCTCCAAAACAAACAGTGGGCTCTCAGCGCGGACGCCGAGTTTGTGCTGAGGCGGGAATCCTGAAGAAGACTTCGGAAGCTCAGTGGCAGGAGCGCTGTGCTCGGGAAAATCCTGTTTAATATTATATGAGTGAGAGCGCTCGTCCTCTCGCTCACACACACAATGCAGCCTCAGTGTCAAACACACACATACACACATTGCTCTAGTTTCCTTCCTACTGAGGAATGGGGGAAGGGGTGAACAGTAGCTACAGCTTACTGTCACGACATGGTGGGCTTCACTCTATGATTGAAAAACTCAAAAGCACACAAACACTTTACACAGGCACACTCAGAGCATGCTATTTAGATACACCTGATGCACTGATAGGTTACAGTGTTTGTTGAGCTTATATGTAAACGGCCAAATAAACACCTGCAGTCGCCTGAATCCCGATAAAAATCAGAGCATTGAGTGTTGAGTGTTTATAGCTGGCTTTAAGTTGCTTTTCTGTTTTAAAATGATCTGAAGCTCACAGACATTATACCTCAGAGCCATTAACTTTGTGAATGGGTGCTCTCAGTCCAAAGAACATGTGATAGTCCTATAATGCACAACCGAAATGGACTCTTGATTTCTTTCTTGGACTTATGAATAAACATCTGTACAGTCGTTACATTTGCTCTTTGTGGATAATTCATGCAGCGATTATAAAGAAAAAATATCCAACCAAACTAAACCAAAGATGTATATGTATTTGTAAAAATATGATAAACCTTTGGTGACTTTCAAACCGTAATTGTCATGGTGAAGACCCCAAAAACTACAAATGTTGGAGCGACTCCAAGCGACCACACAGAAAAAGTTATGATATAAATCACTCTTACATCGCTTAGTAATAAGTGAAAAAAAATGAATTGACAACATGTGATTTACTTTCCTACACATCCAGCAGCTGGTAGTTATCTCAACAACAAAGGCATTTTCATAAGAACTTCTTCATGTGGGGCAGTGGGGCGGAGATCGTGCTTCAAGTGGAAGGTCCTGGTTGTTCAAGCTCCACATGGAAACTGTGATGTAACTATTCCTTAAGTGCTCATGATCTTGGCCCTATATATTTCAACCAACTCTTCTACCTGTCTCGGCTCTCCAGTCCCTGTGTGGAGAGGAGCAAATAAGATTTCCTCACTGCAGGATTTGAGTATAAATGACTTCAAGCAAGCGGCATTGTTGCTTTGTTTTGTTTTGTTTCCACCCTTGTTGCAGTACAAACTCTTATTGTAATTCCTGTACTGTAATATCTAAGTTGAGACGCCCATGAGAAAATGTACTCTATGTATTTGCTGCACAGTCCTGCGATACACCACTATTGTATTTGAAGAACAGGCAGTTAGTCTCCTGGGTCACTCCTGAAGAAATGACCCGCAGCTTCACTCGGACATCGAGGTTTGTTTAGCTTTCGCTCCGTTTGTGTGGGCATTTTACGAGAACAGTGATTTGGAAGGAAGCATGAATGACTCTTGAGTGAGCGTGGGGGCTCTCGCACGCCCGTAGGAGTGTGTGTGTGCGTGCACGTGTGTGTGTCATCTCCAGCTGAGTAGCAGGATGCAGACAACCAGGAAGAGATAAGCGCGGGTGAATGGAGGGAGCTCTATGTGTGTGTGTATTGAGTGTGTGCGTCTGTATGCATGTGTGTGTGTTCGCGTAGGGAAATCACTTCACAAAGGCCTGGAAGTGTGTGTTCTCCTGTCTACCAGTGCGGGACTCGGAGGAGATAAGCAGACAGCCAAATATTCCCCTTGTGTTTTCCCAGCAAAAACAGGAGGCGGAATACCAACCACTCAGACCGATGCCACAGGGTCAGGCCTGGAATGAGCCGCTTCCACTTCTTACAAGCTTCACACACACAGAATCACACCGACACCAGCTCTATACACACTCAACACAACATGGGTCCAAGCTAAGGGGGTATCAAACAATCGTCTTTATTATCAATTCATTTGTTGATTTGTTTCCCAATGTATGGATGGATGTGCATGTGCAAAAGCATACTGTAAACTTGCATGCACATGTGTAGACTCACACTAGTGCAATTCTGTCTCTATGTATGTAGATGTGTGAGGTTTATGTGGAAATATGTATGTTTGTATATGTAGATATTGAGAGGACACATTTCTTCCTCTTGTGTAGGCAGTGGGAATGTGGTTGTGTATTTTTACTACAATGATATCAAATTGAGAAAAAAAACAATGTATGTGATATGTGAATATAGAATCAGTGACTCTTGAATTTCAATTTCTACATTTTGCAATATATTCATAAGCAAAAATAATTTCCTCATTGAAAGACTTTGCATGATATCAAGAGACTGTGAGAAAAGCATGACGGTGTATAAGGTAGAAAAGATGAAGAAGAAGTGAATGTTAGGTCAATCCTAAAAGTCCAATAAACCGCTCCTGTACTCACACTGAACACAGACTGTAAATTAGAGATGGCATGAATGCGTAAACGTTCATGAAAGGATGCAAACAGATGTAGATTTGATAGTTGGTGTTGTCATGTAAAGATATGCTAAATTTGAAACTGTTTCAACTTTGGCAAAACATTTAAGGCTATCCTGAGGTGTATGGCTAATGATTCATCTGAAGGGACAGGAGCAAAATGGGGAGTTTTTTTAATACAAGTTTTGAATTCCACACACATACATGTGAATGACAGCTATACAAAAATGTCCACTCTGACCCTTGGTTGCACTTGAGCAGTCTATTTGGCATTAATAAAGCAAGGTTAACATTTGATTTGCTCTTAATCTGAACATAACATGCATACCATGTTAATCTGATGTTCTCAGTCCAAGTCTAGACAGGGACATTTGCCGCATGCTGCCCCTAGCCTATCTTTCTCATGTCATTGGTTGCGCTGAATTTCATGTATCCTATGAAAGCGAATAAAAAGCCATCAAAATAACGTAAAAAATGTAAAGATTTGGTAAAACATGTCACAAGATTTCATAGAAAGAAACAGAAATGGAGAGGTTTAGAGGAAACCAGATACCCGTGTGGTCAATTGCTGTGAGAGATCTAAGCATGAAAGTATGAAAACATTCTTTATGTACACTGATATTTCCAGCAAATAAAAACAGTACCTGGGTTTTCCACCTCAGTTATTTTAACCTACAAGAGCCGCTCAGTTACTCCAACATATGATATGTAGACTGACTGTCTCCCTCTAACCTGCCGGGCTTCAATGCAAACACACGGTCAGGACTCTGCCGCATAACTAAAACCCACAAGTCATGGGATTGCAGTATCAACATAAAATCACTCACACAGAGATCAGTGTAACATAAAAGCGCACACATACACAAAACCACACACACATACTGGCCAGTGTCCAGGGTTTCCAGGTTTGTGTATTTGGTATGTGAGGAATGTGTGTCGGTCGGCGTGTAAACGCAGTGTTCTAGTTTGAGTTCTTATCAGTCCAATATGTCATCACAGACAACATTAGCGCTTTAAAAAAGCCATTGAAACACATCTGCACACAGACACACACACACACACACACACACACACACACACACACACACACACACATACATCAGACGGCTGTAACCAAAGCAAGCATGTTAACCATGAAGATGCAACACCGTCTCTCACATCTTCCTTACGACAAGAGAGGAGATGCTCAGATTTCTCCAACTGCTCAAAGGGAATGATGCTGGTGCTGTTAGAGGATTATCATGCAACAATCATTTATAGTGGCCATTGAGCTTTGCTACATAGTGTGAGTGGTGACAGTGTTAAAAAGGTGATCGACACACGTCTGTAAACCTAAACACACAAAAACATGAAGGGCAAGGTGAAATCAGATATAGGGTTGGCGATAGAGCATTGCGTGTTCAAGGTCCTTGTCTTTTTTGGATCATATTTTTTAACATCTGCAATACGCTTAATTGTTATGACTACAATGTTAGGTATTGTTATATGATGAGTATTGTAGGATATTTAGCTTAATGAAAATGTGTTTTAAATCATTTACAGATCTATGACATTTTGAAAAACATGGACTGGACCCCGATAAAAACTGAACATGAAGGACATAAATTATAACGTTAGAGAAAGATGAAGAGACAGACATCTTAGTTTAAGAAAGGGAGTGCATAGAAGTCCTAAGTGAATCCCCAGCTTTGTGTTATCAAATTAGTTCATTTGGGTAAAGCCAACAAATACACCAGACATGACACACACACACACACACACACACACACACACACACACACACACACACACACAAATAAAATATCTATAATCTGCTGCAGAAAACTTATATTTAATGTGTGAACTCTTACATAATTGAAAAAAGTAATTAATGATCACTGTGAATGGATGCTCCTTCTTTCACGACACAAACACACGATACTAAAACATACACTCTCGTTCCACAGGGACTCTGTCATTAAAGGTCAAACAAAAATTGTGTTTGTATCTGTTCGTTCACAGAAAAACATATCGAGCGTGCATCAGCGCTGTTTTGGTGTAGTTGGGTCCAGCTGTTTCTCATCTGATGGTTGATGTAACATCTGGAGTCATGCACAAACACACACAAACTCGTGCAGAGAATTGGTACATGCAAAGACATTTCGGTCAGAAATGGAATGCTGCCTACAGGTGATGCATGCGCATTTCAGGTGGACACGAGCTCATAGCGGGAGAGTCACCGGGCTGCACGTGGCACCACCAAGGGATCATAACGGTCGGTTATGAATAGTGGGAAAATGGGGACATTTGGACCAATTCACACACACACACACACACACACACACACACACACACACACACACACACACACACACACACACACACACACATATACATGCACACAAACTCGTTGTCATTGCTTAAACGCGCGTGAGAGGGATTGGATCACAGCGACCAGGCGCGTAAAAATACTAGGTTATTAACCGATTATCCTAAAAAAAAAACTAAAAACTGAGTAATTGCAGGACTTACCAGCTTTGCATGGGTCTTTGTAGTCAATGGTCTCTGCTCTCTCCTCTTCGTAATAATCATAGTCTGGCTCCTCGTAGTCGAAACAGTTACAGATAGTCACTTTGCCCCAGAAAGTCAAGCCGGCAAGCACCAGCGTGATCCAGCGCATCTTAGCTGCCAGTGCCGAGGGCACACGGTCCATCTGAAGACTGAAAGAATGAAAAAAGGCCTCTCTGCTCGTCTCCTCCGCTGTTAGGAGATGGTCAATCCACTCTCCAAAGAAAGCATCGGCGGCAGGAATTTAACGGGTCATTGTGAAGCGGCTCTCCTCTCTGACAGCCTGGCTGAGGGTGCTGTGGGCTGCTGGAAGTTACTTTGCCCGGTTCTCCTCCATGGTGAAGGTTCACTGAGGTGTCCGTCTGTCCGTCCCGGTATCTGTCAGTTAGCAAAGTGTCCACCGAGGAGCTCTGCTGTCCTCCGCTGTGGCTTCGCAGGTGAGGCTGCTGTGGGAGGAAACGAGAGAAGGACGCAGTGAGTGGACCGTGACTGGATGATCTGTGAGCGCAAAGTGTGTGTGCTGCTCACAAGAAACAACCGCCACGCATATTCCCAACCAGCACTGACTGACTGTCTCAGCGCAGGGCAACCTCTTTCTCTCTCCCTTTCCCTCTCTCTCCCTCCCGTGTCCGGTACTATCTCTATCAACCCGAGTCAGCTCACCGCCTACACACACACACACACACACACTTCCTACTATTTGACA